CCAATTTTGATGCCGATCTTGCCTATTATCCAGACCCAATAATAAATCATGCTTATGGAGTCTTGTCAGGTTTTAATGAATTTATTGATCTTGCATTTCCTTTGCATGACTACCTTACCTTTACAATTTGTTTCAGGATGCTGTGGCCTGTTTAAGAAAAATATTTGACAAACAAGTTGGGGAAAAAATACGGCAACTTAAAGCTGGTGTTTCCAAGGTTCCTGATTTACAGCGCCACCTGAGTCTCTCTGCTGATACAGTTGCAAAGGATGAGAAGTTGGATGTCAACATTTTGGATCAGCGATTCTTCCCAACAGAGGCTGACCTCAAGAATCGTCTCTACCATGCAGTTTTGTCAATAAAGAAATCCTTGGTTGACCAAGAGAATATAGAAAAAACTTTTGAAAATTGGCAAAAGGCAAACCCAGAAGACAAGATCTTTTTGCGGTACAATAAAGCTGATGACAATCTCCTATTTGTTTACCAAACATCATTTCAGCGGCATTTGTTTAATAAGTTTGGAGGGGTTTGGCCCTTCTTGATGCCACGCACTGCACTACCAATACTCGCCTTTATATATTTTGGCCGTTGACTACCAGCCTGTGGCAGTGTTTGCGACTATAAATGGATCAAAGCAATTCATTGCTGAGGCACTGCAAATTGTCAAGGATTGGAATTCAGAATGGAAACCAACTTTCTTTTTCACTGAGTTCTGTGATGAAATAAATTCACTAAAGGAAACATTTCCAGGTAATCTTATGTGAAACTTGCTTTAGATTTATATAGGCTGTTATAAACTAATTCAAAGGTAAATGTATATATGTTGGGGTATTATTCAGGGTATTTTTGTTATCTATCTCCCACAGGGCAGAATGTTTACCCTGCTCCTATTTCTTATTTCTATCAAATTAAGATGATTAGATTGGATGTTATTCATATCTTTTGATCACTTGGGTATAGAATTCATGTGACATCTTAATTTGCTGAATCTTCCTATCTTTCAGTTTTCATATCCCATGTATGAGTAAGTAGGCATTACACTTAAGTGCTGATATAAGACCTTCACTCATGTCACTGTTGTGGTTGCATTTGTACCTGTGTTTTGTAAGTCGGGCCTCTCAACATCAATGAACACTGTTTTATCTATTATTACGATGCCAAAATGAAAAAAATATATCCAGATGCATCAGAAGTTCATGGTGAAGGCTCAGGAGGGAAGGTTAGGTTAGAAAGAAGATACACCACCTTTAGAAGTCGCTGTAGCAGGGCAGGAGGGCTGCACGCCACAAAGGCTTTCCCCTGTCCCTGAATAATCATTAGGAATCTATTGCTTATACAATTACTGCTCCAAGCCGAAGTCATCCCCCTGGTGTGATTTCTTCAGAAATTTTGCACTTTTGCAGAAAAATTTTCAGAAAAAGTTTCTTGGCCTTGAAGCATCTGCCCATTTCTGTCTCCCTTCCCCCCTCACCTGCTTTGCAAATGTTGTATGAAGTTAGGTCCAAAGAGAAACAGGAGGAGGTTGATTTTTGTTTGTTTCTTTCTTTCTTTCTTTCTTTCTTTCTTTCTTTCTTTCTTTCTTTCTTTCTTTCTTTCTTTCTTTCTTTCTTTCTTTCTTTTCTTTCTTCTTTCTTTCTTCTTTCTTTCCTTTCTTTCTTTTCTTACTTCTTCTTCTTCCTTCCATGTATTTATATTATTTATTCTGACTTTTGTTTTTTTGTTTGTTTCAGGGAAACTTTCAAATGGTCCAGATCATCCAAATAATGTTTTGAATGCTGAAGATAAATTGCAAGAAAGTTTGGAAAGGTAAGCTAGTTTTTCTAGTAATATTGAGGTTATTGTTATTATTATTATTAAAGTTATTGAAATTTATATTATTATTATTATNGTTTCTTTTCTTTCTTTCTTTCTTTCTTTCTTTCTTTCTTTCTTTCTTTCTTTCTTCTTTCTTCTTCTTCTTTCCATGTATTTATATTATTTATTCTGACTTTTGTTTTTTGTTTGTTTCAGGGAAACTTTCAAATGGTCCAGATCATCCAAATAATTTTTGAATGCTGAAGATAAATTGCAAAGAAAGTTTGGAAAGGTAAGCTAGTTTTTCTAGTAATATTGAGGTTATTGTTATTATTTTATTAAAGTTATTGAAATTTATATTATATTATTTATTTATTTATTTATTTATATTTATTTTTATTATTATTATTATTACTATATATATATATATATATATATTATATATATATATATTTTGGTTTTTTTTTTTTTTTTTTTTTTTTTTTTTTTTTTTTTTTTTACGTTATTAACATTATTGGTAGTCAAACATATATAGTAATTGACTCCATCATGACTAAGTGTGCTTGTGTAACCACAGTAAATGGCATTTACCTACTTGCCATCCCCAGTGGCAAAAGGTTAATCATAAGGATTGCAATTTTTTTGAACTTAGGCACTATAGGCTTTTGTTGTCGTTGTTGTTGTTTTGTTTTTGTTATGTTCAGAATACTAGTTAATCATCTCTGATTTTCCCTTTCTTTCCAAACAGTTTGAAGCCCCATTATGAGTAATGATATTTGGTAAATTATTTTCTGCAGATGTCACTACAAAGAGATGTTATAGGGTTTATAAACAATAGAAATTCAAACAAGATACGATAATTGAGGCGCGTGGTGACATAGGGAGCTAAGCGCCACCAGGTCGAAATTGAGTTAAGTACATCATGTTCTTCCCCAAAGCCTCTACTTTCCAAGGATGTAACTGCCAGAACCATCCGACAACTACAACATAGTCGAAAATCGCGGGAAAGAGAAGGGTATATCGCGCCCGCGTATGAAGGTTTGTCATGGCGCGCCGGGTCTCAACCCAGGAACTAAACGCCAGATTTTCTCTTGTCCCACATTGAAGTGGGAAGCAGAACAAAGTACCATTATAGCATTATCTTCTCCCAAGCCTCTAGTTCCAGAGATTGTAACCGCCAGTACTAAACGCCGACACCAACAAGGTCGAAATGACGGAAAAAAAGGCGCCTTAACATGTGCGGGTCTGTCGCGTCCCCAGTGAGTCAGGAGCGGGAACTAAGCGTCATGTTATTGTTATGTGTTGGTGGGTAAGGATGGCCGCCCGGGCTGACCAATGGCAGCCTGTCTACAGTACCGCCTCGGCAAAATTGGGCCAATTAGAGCTCGCCATTCTTCCCTCACCCTCCCTCCTCTCTCCAGCCAGTCTCCACGCTAAACCCACGCGGCGCGCCTGGATTATTCTTGTCCGTGTATTTTCCTTTTTTTTTGTGTGTTTACGCTTGGATTATTACCTTCTACACTACAATGGCATCAACCAGCGGTGAGGGGGATGTGCAGGGGCATAACTTAGTGGTGAAAACAGGGCGTAATCCAAGTGAATGGAAGAAAAACACAGGGAAGCGTAACAGTGGTGAAGAGTATGAGAGTAGCGTCACTAGAAAAGTGGTGAAAAAGAAGGAAATAGGAGCACCCTGTAGGGATGGTTGTTTTGAAAAGATGGGAATGAATAATATTAAGGCTATTCATGAGTCATTTTGGGGTTTGGGTGACTTTAATTTGCAGAATGCCTTTATTCAAAAGTTTTGTGTAAAAGGTGTGGTGAAGAGGCGCCGTGTTCGAGTGCGTGGTGATGCTCCCCCTAGGCGTTCGTGCACACGTTCTTACTCATTCTTGTGTGGTGATAATGTTATTCCTGTGTGTGCTACCGCATTCCGTAGTGTGTTAAGTATCTCTACCAAGAGATTACACACTGCTGTTGAGTCTGTGACTCCCACAGGCACGCCTCGTGTGGACCGACGAGGCAAGCACGTGCCCAAGCACGCCATGCCTGCTTCAAGGAAGAACCTTGTAGAGCAGCATGTGAAGAGTTTTCCTACTGTTTCTAGCCACTATACACGTGCTAAGTCACCTCTAATGCGGTACCTGGACACTGATATGACGCTGAAGATGTTTTTCCTGTACAAGGAGTTGGTTCGACACCAACGAGGACGAGGAAGTTCTCTTATAGGTTGTCCGTCGTCTAGTTTTAAGCCCCCCAACACCGATACCTGTTCAAAGTGTGACAGGTACGAGGTCAGCAAGAAGGATGCGAGCACAGAAGAGGAGGCTGTACGTATACAGGCTGACTGGGACGACCACCTGAGCTTCGCGAAGGAGGGAATGAAGGCCATGAAGAAGCTGCAGGAGGACGACGACCCCAACACAAGGTGCATCTGTCTTGACCTTCAACAAACCCTTCCAGTTCATAGTTTGCTCTTTCAGAAAGTGTTAAGATAACAAGCTAAATGTTATGGCAGACTTAAAGTAGACATCCTAAGCTTTCATTTAAGACATAAATGAGCTTTCTATCTTAATCCGTTCCGGAGATATCACATTCTGAAAGTCGCAAAACTTTGATCGCGTTTTTCTCCGTTTTTTATTTTCGGCGCTTAGCTCCCTATGTCACCACGTGCCTCAATTAGTCAAGGTCTTCTAAAGATCATGAAGCAGAAAATGTGTGAAAAACCAGCCTCATTCCATAACGATTTCTAAATAGTGTGTTTTCTCCTTTTCAGCAATCGCAAAGATCCAGCATCAGAAACCACAATGTCGGATAACAGGAATTCAGTGACAGTAGATGGACTTGAAATTAAAGAGGAGAGTGATACATATTTCACAACTGACAGTGACATAATGGAAAGAGTGGAGGAGAGAGAGGATGATTTGATTATGTGTAAGATAAAGGATGAAGTGACCGTTAAAGAAGAAAGCATAGACGCAGATGTTGAAGATAATTCATACACATATGAAAATTGTGAAGACCCATTATTAACACTTGAATGTAAGAGTTGTGGGGAAGTGTTTGTGACAATTAGTGATTTGGAGACTCACACAAGAAACCAGCATGGCTCAGGAAAGCACCAGAAACGGGGCCAGAAACGCAAAGAACGTAAAGAAAGCCAGCCTGAGGGACTGCATGGTCGTGGAAGGGCCTCTCGTGATGAGGTATGTAGGAAGTTTTGGTTTTGGTAATTATTCGTATTTGATTAGAAATTTTATATGCAAGCATGTGCATCCATCCACATCCACGTACACTTGCAAATAAATACAAACATGCACACACACTCCCACATGATCACTCATGCTCACAGTTAGTCTTGCCTCCTTCCATTCACACCTACCCCCGCCCCCCTTTACTCTCTCTCTCTCTCTCTCTCTCTCTCTCTCTCTCTCTCTCTCTCTCTCTCTCTCTCTCCTCTCTCTCTCTCTCTCTCTCTCTCTCTCTCTCTCTCTCTCATGCATAGACACAGGCAAGGTTGTGCATGCTTAACACATTAGAGACACTGAATACATCAGTTATAGCTCAGAAAAAATTATGTCTGACTCATTTTTCACCCCTTTCACCCCCCCCCCTTGAAAAGCAATCAAATGCCTTTGAGATATTTGAAAAAACTAGAATCTTAGAATCTAGCAGATTAGTCTAGGTATATTAGTAGAAGTGAATTTTCATTGAAATTTGTTAAAAGATGATGCAGGAGAAGCAGTGAGATGTTTTGAGATGTAGAGGTCAGAAGTTTTCTTTACCTTTATATGCCTGTGTATTAAACACTTAATGGCAATTTTAGTTTTAAGTCTTGTACATTCATAATGCATAGAATAATATGAACTCATATTCATAATGCACTGACTCATCTGCATCATAGGTTGACCTGTTTTCAATCTGACAAATGTAGAATAAGGTATGAACAAGAATGAATTGTATTGTGAAGATATCCATTCTCATTTATACCTTTTCTACATTTAATCATAAAGTCAGGTTTGAAGGGATAAACCTCATAACTACAAAATTAGGATACATTTTTATGAAGTTTGTTGTTTCTGGACTGCCATGCCTACAGAGCTGTAAGAAAATATCACTATTTTTCATATTTTCGTGATATTTGCTATTTCTTTTATCCTTCAATCATTTACCAGCATTTTGCCTAATTGGTAAGAAATTTAGCGTTTGAATGGATTGGAATTCAGTTATCCATGCTTTTCAACAAACTTATATCAACTATATGAAGATGAGTTCTTAGCCAATATTTTAAAATAGACCAGGTGGTATTTACTTTACCTAGATGTGATTTATTCTATACTTCAGACATTTTTTATATAGATCTGTTTTATGCCTTTATTATATGCATCTGATCACTTTTTTTTTATATGTATTGTGTTTCCATAACTATTACGAATTTTGGAAATAAATTTTCATCCTGCAATTTTCATGTTCATTTCCATGAAGTAAAGAAATATAGGTATATTTTCACTAATGTAATTTGTTACTATAACTAGGGATATTCTATTGTATTTTTTTGAATTATTCTCTTAGCAAAAGACAATTATGTAAGTAGTAAGGGTGACGAATATTTTCATATGATTTTTCCCATTACAACAAAAGTCAAGGTTCGGGCCCCTTGCTATTGTTGAAATGAACAGTGATATTCAGCATACACTATCATTACCTCTGTGTGTGTGTGGGTGTGTGTGTGTGTGTGTGCGTGCGCTGCCATTCCATGAATGTCCTGTAATACTAATTATGCCAATATACTTTTTGTGTCCGACCAAGAGAAATCAATTACAATTTCTGTTTGTGTACAGGACTGTATTGATTTTTTGTGAATATAGGAACCATAAGCTTTTACCTTTGACATATTTAGCTTGGAAGCCCGGTGTTTACTCGTACAGTAGCACTGGACTTGTTATTCTTTGGCTCGTTCGGATTATTAGATGTGGTGGATTCATGCAATTTCCATAATTCTGCTACTCAGATTATACTTTTACATTCATTAATGTTGGGGATGTTCTCATCTATCTCCCAAACAGTATAACATCAGTTCATATCTCACCTGAAATCATAAGATATGCGCTTCGTTATCTCCCATCCTCGTTCGCCAAAGTAGGGATCACGAAGTCTTGGATAAACCCGTTTATTGTAGGGTTTGTAGAAAGAGTCTCTTCTATGTCTACTCTTAATTGTTGCTAAGCCTTGAGGGGTTACATACATCGCCGCTAGGGCATACATTTGACCGGTCATAGAAAACGGATTGCACATCGTTGCACGGGTATCACAAACATAATAATTGTTAGTCATTTATACATAGGAACTTATAGTGTTAATAGCATATATCATTTAGTGCATGTTAATACATAACAATTAAGTTACTGGAAAAACTTTGTAATATATTCTTATTTGATGATATCAAAGTTGGATATAATTACATTAACATTGTATACAAGTATAACAAGTATAAATTAGTATAGTAATTATGTTCTCATTTTTAAGCACACAAGGCTATTAGATCTCCCCCTTTTTCCTAGGACATGAATGAAATTATTTTTAAACTTGCAAAATAAAGAGGGTTTTACACGGTCAAACATGTTGGCCAACACGCTTGACAACACGACGTTTGAGAGAATGTTTGAACGTGTGAAAGGGGTAAACATGTTTGACCAACGTGTTGGACGGATGTCTGACGGGGCCTGACTTTTGTGGGCGGAGCTTGCTCGGTGCATGTCCATGTTTGAACGTGTGAACGGTCATCAGCCTTCAACCGTCATACATACTCAAATCTCGCCGAGGTAACATCTGTAAACATCTCCTTCAGTGACAGGCGTAGTGTATCAGCTGCAAAATGAGTGACACGTGTGCCCTTAAGGATAAGGAAAGGGAAGTAATGGTGGTTTCATTGATATATACAGGAAGCATGTGGCTTTGTGGAAGGTGAAATCAAAAGAATACTCAAACAGGAATTTAAGAAATAAGGGTATAGATGAACTGCATGGAAAGCTACAAGAACTTGACCCACATTGTACGCGGGATGATGTGATGAAAAAAATAAATTCTCTCCGTAGTTCGTTTAGAAGAGAACTTCGAAAGCATGAGAGCTCTAAAAAGTCTGGAAGTGCAACTGATAACATCTACACCCACTCTCTGGTATTTTGAAGACATGTTCATATGTGATCAAGAGATGCCACGAGAGAGTACATCAAATATGGAATGTGTTAATGAAGAGGTGAGTTGCAAGGATTTGCCCAAAACTGGATAACAAGTAACCTTCAGAACCAGAGTGGCCGTTTATTTATTCGTTTTTTTATTGGCTATGCATAGATGACTTTATTCAGTTTCATGGGTGCTTTCATATAATCTGTAGGTTGTAAAATGTATCTCCTGACTTCTCTGGTATATTAGTCTGAAGTTTCAGACAATTTTGTATTATGAATCATCATTTCATTAAGAATCCAACATGTCAATCTGGATCTGAAGGCTAAACTTGAGCCAGCCATTTGAATAATGAATCAATTAAACTTATCATAACCATTGTATTCATTTATTTTGAAAAAAAAAAAATATTACAGCACACTATTTAAGCCAATTCCAATCAGACTGTATAGTTTGAGTTTGAAGGTGTAGACTAGCCTTTCCTATTTTCATGATTTATATGAAGTCTTTTTGCCATGCTACTGCACCGGCATTCACAAAGTAATCCTTAAATCTATCTCTTACTACCTTTGCAATTTCAGGATAGTTTCGTGATCCCTGACCGTGTTGCAAACCTGCTACATAAGGATCTGCAGTTAAGCCTGGCAAAATCATTTTGCACATTCTATCCTCCCTATGGAAGCAGTCCTCTGGGGAATAGTCTGAAGGGCATGCTTTCCGCAAATAGTTATGTAGCACAACACATGCCATGACAACTTTGTCAATACTTGTCAATTTGAGATTTATACAAGTGTGGAAAATTCTAAACCTGGAAGCCATAATGCCGAAGGCATTTTCTGCCACTCTCCGTGCCCTTGACAGCCTGTAGTTGAATACTCGCGTCTCACTATGTAGGTCCTTTTGAGAATAAGGTTTCAAGAAATCTGTCCTTAATGCAAAGGCCTCATCTCCCACGAATACATATGGCAAAACACAATTTGAAGTAGCTGTTACTGACTCATGTGGGATGCAGAGCTTTTCATCTTTGAGTCGCTTACCAAATTCTGTATTATCAATGACTCCTCCATCTGATACGCGACCATTAGTTCCAATGTCTGCCATAATGAATTCGTAGTTCGCATTTACAACTGCCATTAGACTGCTTTGGAATTCTGAGGTTGGGGCAGGACCCGGGACCCCCGGATATCCATACATGCTTTCCATCCATCTAAACTCGAACAGTCTTCCACTCCTTTTCTGTTGCCGGAAACTGAAACAGATAAAAGATACAAGGCTATTAGAGAGAGAGAGAGAGAGAGAGAGAGAGAGAGAGAGAGAGAGAGAGAGAGAGAGAGAGAGAGAGAGAGAGACTTGCACTATATTTATAGGTGTTCTCCTTTCTAGAGTGTTGCTGAGCCACCAGCTGATGATGAAATACCTTCATGCAGCAATGCTCCTGTAGTGAAACGGAGCAGGGGAAACACTACGAAGGCAGATCACATTAAACCTGGTCGCATGATACTCCTAATGAGACATTTGGGAAGTACGTAGGCCAAGCACTCGACTCCCTGGACAAAAAACAGCAGGCTGTGCTAGGAAACTGATAAATGATGTGCTTTTTGAAGCAGAGAATGGGAATTTGTCTGCCTATTCTAAAATTGTAACAAAAACACATACCATTCACATGAATCATTTGCAACACCAGTACCACAGTCGTCAAGTTCCTTTCATGTAAGCGATAATTCTAATAGTGATTCCAATATGTCACACTATTTTGCCAATTTTCAGCCCTTGTAACAATTTCATATGTGTCTGGCAATCAAAGAGTGAGATATAAAGGGTTATAATTTTGGATTGATTTGGGTTTTGTCCTTTCGCTTGACACTGTGGTTAGAAAGCATAGGACATTTCAACAGAAGGTTTCAGTATTTTTCACATACTATTACTATGTACTGATTTTCCTCAATAAATGCACATTACATATTGCATATCATAACCCACCTTTAAATAATCCTTCTTGAGTACTTTGTAGATGGCAACACAA